AATAGATCTGTATATGATCTTGACTATTGAGCTGCGCGGATTGACTTTGTAATTTGACTTATAATAATGTTGCATCATTGGATGAAGTAACATTCAAGAGTCACATCATCCAAGAAATGCGAGCTTAAATGAATTAGACATTAAGTGTAAGACGAGTAGCCAGTATGAGCAGTGTTTTGCTCTCTATCCAACTGTTGGGAGTAGATGGAGCAAAATTTCATGCACTATAATAGTGCGCATTAAAGTATCACTTGATGTTAAAAGATTAGCGGTTAGTAGCAGCAAAAAATCTATTAATACGAAGTGAAAAGATTAGTATCAAGTGGCTGCAAAATCTATTAACGCTAAGTCAAAAGATTAGCTCCAGATGGCTACAAAATCTATTAACATTGCCAACTTGTCTAAGTCTAGACACTTACTATTTCCACACTTGAGTGTCAGACATGCAGAGGTGCTTCTTTGTATGATTCCTTAGTTAGGTTAATGCTTTTGAATAACGTTTACTACTAAGTGCAAACGTTGCAGCATAGTAATGAAAAGGTCAAGGCCGACAAGGTTGTTATGACTCTAAAAATTTGACGCATGGCTCATGAGAGCATTGTATTGAATTAGACTCTTTAGCCTAATTCGCGCTTAAGTTACTTTGGGAGTTGTCATAGATTGATAGCTTATTCTCTCCTTCTTGTGGATAGTAGAATTAATTGCAAGTAACTATGAAGCGACAAATAGAGATGGCAAGAGGAGAATTGTCATCTTTCAATTAGATGCAGTAAAATGTATGGAGACTAAAATTGACTTGAAGGTACAGGGGATTAACACTTACTAGTTAAATTTGCGACTTAGGCACACTTGATATCTCCATGACATCTTTTTATGATCTAGTGAACATGAATTAGTCGTGAGCCATTACCTAGTTGGGCCTAAACCCTTAAAACTTGTTTTCGAGAACTCACACATTAGGATGATTGGAATTAGTTTATGACATTGGTCATGAACCGGTGACTTATTATACTTAATCACATTAATGAGAAGATGACATGGATGGTTTGAGTAGGCCCTCTCGGGCCCACTCACTTGTGACATCCTGCACTCATGTGAATATGTAACTTTATTCGCAATGGTTGCGCATAAGTAAGTAGGAAAGCCGTAGAAGGGCATTTGTATTGGCATATTTAGTTCACTATGATATTTGTGACTGGATATATGTAAGGGCATGGTAGCTAGCCTCAATCTCAACACATTTATAGATTACGATACGCATCTGAGTCAAGACTATTTGATCTCCCATAAGTTAAAAGTTTTGAGATGATTTTTAACGTTGCACATATAAGGTCGAGATCAATCAGATAATAGTTTTCGTGTTTTTAGTTTTGACTAAGGTGGCAAGTATCTATTTGAGTTATTTTAGAAAGCTCTGTGAAGAGAAATGAATGCTTAGAAAATTGATTATTCTTAGTACTCAGCAACACAATGGTGTAGTAAAGATAAGGAATTAAGTATTGTTAATGTTGGGTGGATGATGGCGCAAAATGTTTTTCAATTGAGAATTACACTTTAGTTTGTTGCCTATATCCCTAACTAAGTGCCCTCCATATGTTTTCGTGTTTTTAGTTTTGACTAAGGTGGCAAGTATCTATTTGAGTTATTTTAGAAAGCTCTGTGAAGAGAAATGAATGCTTAGAAAATTGATTATTCTTAGTACTCAGCAACACAATGGTGTAGTAGAGATAAGGAATTAAGTATTGTTAATGTTGGGTGGATGATGGCGCAAAATGTTTTTCAATTGAGAATTACACTTTCGTTTGTTGCCTATATCCCTAACTAAGTGCCCTCCATATCAGATTTTACACTCCATTTGAGTAATGGGTTAGCAGAGAGCCATCTATGGGTGATCTGTAACCATTAAACAGTTTATCTTTATTTTACTTCTCATAAGGTTGCAAAGTTAAGACCTAGGGTTCTATGGTACATTATTGTATGCTGCCTTGTAAACACTTAAGGTCATGTGGCGCATTATTATATGCTATCATGTAAACCCTCTGGGTCATGTGCATATAGGTAAGCAGCTTTATGATAGCGTAACTAAGTCACATAAAGTTTTTTTAGTAAAGATGACGTGAATAGAGTTTTGGAACTCTATAAGATAGAGAATTCTAAGTATAGTGCTTTATGTAGCCTAGTTGAGAATGGAAAGAAATTTCCAATATCCTAGGGACAGTGGGAGTGATGTACCTACTAGTGGATTACTCCATTAGAGAAGAATACTCTACATTCTTTGTTGCATGGTAGTGAATGTGAAAATTTTTCAAGTCATCACTGGATGATTGAAAGGGAAACATTTATGATTACTCCGCAAGATGATAAAGAGCTTAGGATAATGCCAAAGACTCTAGTCTCCTGTTTTTAGAAAGTGGATCAATGTTGTGCAATTTAAGACAAAGTCTTTAATGATTAACTATTTTTATAATTTGGTTGACTTTACATTATGACGTGAAACTGTTCTAAAGTTATGCGCAATTTGGATAGTCATTGTTGAGGCATAAGGCACATACTGAAAACTCACACCATTGAAAAATGTGTAGACCATGAGAAAACTTCCTCTTGGGTAGTGAGGTCATTTCGACATAGGCTATGATTGACATAAGTTCGAAACATTGATTTGTGGACGTTGTGACCCAACTTCTCGTTAGAGAATTGGATAAGTAGATCCGTAGGGATTTACCTTCTGCTTTTATGGTGAAAAGTTAGGAGCGCAAAAAGATTGCTAGTTCCAATAAATCTTTTACAGCCTAAAACAGTTATCTAAATAGTGGTTCTTAGATTTCGTCGAGCCATGATAGGCCAACGATGATCGATAAAGACCACTAAGGCATGATCAATGGTCCAAAAGAAATTTTTCCTTACTTAGTCATTATGATCCAGGAATTTATAAGATTGTCGCCACTTAGGGTGGGCAGTCCTCTGTTTTAGATATGATGGACATGGGTGATGTAATTTATATGCTCGGATGTACGATCCTTAGGGATTATTTTGGGAGAATTCCCGATTTGTCTTTGATGACTTACATAAGGAATATCCTAGAATGATTCTAGATGCAAAATTGCAAACCCATTGACTTACCTATCGGTAAAAACCAGAGCCTTAACTATTGAGTGAATCATTGGAAGAAACATATGACCTATATTCCTTGATCTTTTTTGTTGTGGGAGCCCGAAGTATGCTATGTGGGCGTATTCGGCATGATGAGTGTTATCTTTGGATTGGTCACCAAAATATCTTTAGAGAGGTAATTGCACAAGAGGTAGTAATCTTGAACCACTTTATGTGAGGTGCACATGGTGGATTCTGTTGTACATGCTTATTGCAAGAGGTACTGATAAGGCTTATGCTTGGAATCTAGAATTGCGCAGACTGTGGTCGCGTTTTTTAAAATTGATCACTTATTTGTTGTGAGATGATGGGATGATGACACTATTATGGTTTATGTTATAATGATTAGCAGATGATGATGTCAGTAGGTAAGATTGGCTCACTCACACGAGCAATCGCCCTTGGTGCTTGGGAGCAAGCAACGATGAGACTAGTGGTTTATTTTTATTTGAAGCCAAGAGAGGCTTAAATTATCCACTATGTATGTCATCTTGGTTACAACCAAGATGAGGTTGTGTTAATGACCAAACATGGATGCTAGTACCCACTTTCCATGTTGTGCCTGTTATGATTAGCCAGATGCGAGATCTCATTTGGCGCCTGGAAGACGAGCAAATAGAGAATTCAGGTTAGATGTTAGAAAGCGACTAGACTAAGATTTGTATGGTGTATCGAGTATGACATCACTCTTTTGGAAAAGTTATTCCATCGTAGCATGTATTTAGACTACATGTGCTTTGCGACCGAGTAATGAGGTGAGAGAATGGATCCTTGTTTGCTCACCGTGTGAGTCTTACGTGTCATTATTGATATGACTTTCACATATGTACCCTTTTGTGGCCTTTGACTATGTCACAAGGTAAGGGGTTGATGTTCTGCTACTTTGATATGTTCCCTGCGGTCATGTATGATTCGGCCTTAAGGGACATGACTGGGAAAGCGGTCAATCCTAAATTAAATGACATGAGGCAAAATGAAGATAATCTAGTATTACACCACTGTTGTATATTCACTACCGACAACTGACATCGCTCTATATGAGAGGTGGATTGAGTGTGAATATGTTGCAAGAATTGAGAGGGTCAAATATGCACTTTTGAAGAATTAGAGATATTTTTTGGACCGGTGTAATTAGATGGGTCTAGGGTATATGAGACACTATTTCTATTCTTTTTGGGTTGATATATCCCTATGCTAGCTCATTTTGAGTTTTTAGTATAAAGCTCCCACATGCAGGTGTTCTCAGCAGTCGCATGGTTCATTAGCTAGTATGAGATTGTTCAATATTTAGAGAGATTGAGATAGAGATGTGGCAGTGTCATGCCAACTCATGTGCGAGTGGGAGATGTTAGAAATTGGGCTGGGTATTGGACTCGGATTTGGGCGCCTATGTGTCATGACTCATAACCCATTCAAATTACCCATGTAATTTGAATTTGATTTCCTGATTATCCTATTTATTAGGATAACCCTCTATTTATTTACATCTATCTTATCCTTAAGAGATATGAATAGATAAATAGATATATATGATTATATATTTGATTATATATCTGAATGATATAAGACATCATATACGTTATGTGGTTTTTACACATAATTTTTTTCCCATACTCTCTCTTTAACTCTCTCCCACATGTAAAACGATCAAGCCTTTGCACTGTGATTAGAGAGGGTGACACTCATACTGTGGTATCACTCCATTGTTGGGAGTTTATAGTTCGTGGTTGTCAAGCACGTGATTTACCCATAAGATTCTTCGTTTGGGATTCTTTTACACAAGGTATGGTTTGAATCCTTTTACCCGCTATGTTATCTGTATCTTCCATAAGCTTTTGTTACTTCTAATATAATATAATCAAACACGTGTAAATACAAAACAAAATAAGTCTAAATGCACATATGAGTTTTACAGAATGAAACACAATATGATAAAATATGAATTCTCATATAAACATATGTGAGAGAAATGGTATGTTTGTAAAACTTACCTTTTATTTCACATATGTGTCTCACTCTATAAAATTTATCTGTATTCTTGACACCGCTGTCTATACAAAATATAAGATCAAGTAGGGACAACAATTGGAGCAGTTGGGACCCATTCTTGATTAGGTAAGCAAACCCAACCACTTTCCTTACTTTGGGAGACTGTAAAATGCTTAGGAACCCATATTTCTCCTTTGGCCATTCTTTCTCTTAGAAGTTCTCTCTCCTTTTCCTCAACAGCTGTCTTTGCTTCCCTTGCTTTGTCCCAGCATTTGCTCAGGATGTTTTTACTTACCTCAGCCCACACTACGCTTGATTCACTTGCCCACAATCTCTATTTAAACACCAAAAAACAACAAAAATCACATACACCTCACAGAATCTTCAATAACCATATATAAAGAAGGCTATGTACACATGCAAAGCATGTGGAAAAATGAAAGATGGTTGTTGCTGTTATATGATTTAAAAAAAAAAAAAACAGATGTCGATGCAAGAAAATAATAAGCTGAAGAAATCAAATTTTGAAATTTTAGTTATATAAGGGTAATTTGGGCATACAGAATGCGTGACATAGCTTTGCCAATTGAGTTACGTTGTTTATATAATAGAATAGCTATGCCAAGCAAAAGAAACCTACATGTATATAAATTTTTTATTTAAGCTTTTTCCACAGTAGATAAAATTTTAGAAAATAATAGTCATAACTGACTTCACTGATATTTTTTTCCCTTTTTCTTTTTAGCAGAACTGCAATATATAGTAGCCAATATATAGTCTGTTCAGCAGATTGGATCAATTCCTATCATACCCTAATTTAAAACTGATCAAAATTAGAGGCATCTTTTAATTGACCGATATGGTCAGCTCAGTAAGGTTTGTATTTGGATTATAATTTGAGAAGGGATTTGTGGAGAAAGAAAGGGGAGACTAATTTCCTTCAATTTTCTTTTCTCTTTCACAAATAATACCTACTCAAATTCAAGATCCAAATACTGATACAAGAAGCCCAAGTCTTTTATGATATTAGTTTATCTTTGCATCAATTTTACCTTCATACGAAAAAAGTTAAAGAGCGAAAGGCAGAGATTGATTATTACCTCTGGATCTTTTAAGATGGGAGTTTTAAGTCCTGAAAGTGCTTCCTTGGCATCATATATCACCGTTTGTTTTCCATTGCTGACATCCTTAACTGTGACAACTCTGCAAATAAATTAATTGAGATTAAAACAAATATTAAAAGAGTGATCATGAAAATATTAAAATAAGGGGCATGAGCTAATTTGCATTTTCAACTAGTCTACCATCAATCATAGTCCAAATTGATATCACGAATAAAACTTACCTGTCCCAATGGCCATTAATCTCGTAAATGGTCTTCATTGACGACGACATAAACACTTTTCCTTTAATGGATCTAAAATATGCTCTACGGCTTATAAAAGAACTGCCTCCAAGATGTAACTCGGCTTCAAGGCCGCTTTCTTGACAATGGATTCTGACCTTGCCCACCCAATGAACACCAGGCACGGGTAGAAATCTTATTAAAAGATTCGGATGGTCCATTACGTAGGTTTCGCCCTTATTCACGAGTTTCAAATGCCTCTGACCGTGCACCATAGTTTCTACTGTAGTACCTGCTCCATGTATGTATTTTGGGAACATAAGATAAATTAACACCAAGTTACTATCAAATGGAAAATTACAAGGCCTCAACTGACTTTTTTATCCCTGAATGATCCATAACATTTTGATCTAAAAGACTAAAATTATGTTCCTAATGGTCACAAAAGGGAAGGGCTTCGGGCTGAACGCTTATATTGAGGCTACAAACTGCACCAAACAGGCCCCAAGTGATGCAGAGTATTATTTCAATATCGAATCTGAATTCAATATTTCATAATAGCTTAAATAAGCTGAAAAATGCTGATTATCTGATAGTTAGAAGAGGGGTGTTTTTGGCTTCTGCTTTCTAATTATGAGCTTCCAACTTACAAGAAACCGCACCAAATAGGTCCTAAGTGACGAAGCTTATTATTTCAATACTGAATTTGAATTCAATATTTCATAATTATGAAATATAACTTGCAGTTGAATTTGAAGCATAAGAGTATTAAAATAAATATGAAGTAAAAGATGTTAATATTTTATCAAAACCTATTTGGATAAATTGAATAGCTGCTTACTCTTGAATTCTAATTCGTTTCCGAAGTAATAATTCTTGCAAGTATCCAAACTTATTTGAACAGTTACTGATGTTATCAACAGCATGAACAAAGTTCTTGATATTCAAAATTTCAATTTGCAGATGTAGTCAGTCATACCAAACCGAAATGTTAAAATGCTTAATAGGAATGAACAACACTTTCTAATTGATGAACCTTAACAAAAAATTGTCTGATAACACCATTAAGTGCTAAATCTGTAGATTTTCAGTGAAAGTTTCATTTATTGCATTTGATAATCCACTAAAAACTGAAAACCCTCTTAGAAAGGCACTGAATTTTAAGCAGGAGATGGCTGAATTACAATTTGAATAGGTCTTAGATGTAAATGTTAATGGGCAAACTGAAATCTGAACTTCAATCTTAAAAATTCGTTGCTTAAATATTTCAGCACCATATTTTTATTTTATTTTTATTACTAGTGTCAAACAGCCCATGAACTCATTTGATCATACGTGAGCAAGCATAAACCCATGATAAGTTCTGTCCACAGACTAGTTCAACAGCACTCGAAATTCTGGCCCTTCTAACCAATTAAACCTATGTCAAGTAGTTGAAACTATTTAAGATTAATTTAGCTGCAAATCAATAATTGTTTGTACTATTTCACTAATGCCACAAGTTACATAATCAAAGCTAGGGTGGAAAAGTTAACTACCATTGAATTTTGGGACAAGATGATGGCACCATATAAACTCAATACCCTCTTTCTCATCAGTCGCATGAAGTGCAGATACTGGTGGGTGATGAGAAACCTGCAAGCGTTATTCACACAAGTTCACACAGTTTAGGCAAAAGCATATAATTCCTATTCAAACTACTTCAAGCTCTTCATGGTTATTATTGGACCTATGTTATGAGGAATAGGAACGGGAACATGGAGTAGGTCTATTGGAATTTAAGGTAATTTTAACTGTGAGAGCAATTTTCTTCTAATAATTACACATTCAATAAAATATAGTTTATTATTCTTCAAATTGATCATGTACAAGAAGATTTTAGGAGCAGTTATGGCCCATTGTTTTTGCAGTTCGTCATGCCAATAGTCCACTCATTCTAAGCTCAACAGGGTCTGTTGAGCTTGGCTTAGGCTTTACTAGCTTAAAAACAAGCTCAATAAGCTATAAAACCCTTGACGTCTCACCTGGTAGAGTAGACAATTAAGTACAGATAGAAATGAAAATGTAGTGCTATAGCAAATACCTGTTCAAGAAGCACATTGAGAGTGCCCCTAGAGACATGGTGAGTCTCTCCAAGAATGGGATTGTAAGGAGCAACACCAAACATGAGAGGGCGCAGGGTAGATATGTTCCATGCAACAACAGATATAAGCCTGTCAAGTGGGGTTTTCCCACTGGCACATGGACTCAACATGTCTTTACTGATGCAATAAAGTGACTCCCCATAACACTGGAGCATTGTCTTTGGGATGTTGAAGAGTGGTGGCACCTGAACTTGTAGGGAGAACCCCAAAAGAAATAAAAATAAATAAAACAAATCTTCACATCAGCAATGCTATTATCAACAATTAATGTGCCACAACATTCTGCTTCGGTTTATTAAAATTCAGACAGATATGTTTCACAAAATTCTAACCACTATATTTAATGGTAACAAATTTTGATTTGTCTATTTGTATAGAACACGTCCTCTCCGCGCATTAGTCCTTGTCTCCCTGTTCCAGGACTCCTCTCTATTGTACTGCTATGGCATGTTTGATTGGAAGGATTAAAGTATGGGATTAGGATTATTAATCCGTGGGCCCAATCATCCTATGTTTGTTTTGACATTTTGGTTTAGGATTATTAATCCAATGGATAATTAATCCAACAAATTTGTAGGATTATTAGTAATGGGGTAGGGATGGGATAGTTAATACCACACTAATTTGATGGGATTATTAATACTTCACTATTAGTGTTGTGAATCAAACATGGCCTTAGAGTCAAAGAGAAACATCGTGTGATAAAGAGAATGCCTGGGACGGGGAATACAGGAGAAAATGAGACAGATTCTTGTGTGCAATTTGTATGACAATATGATATAGCAAAGGCACTGTGAGAACACATGAACACATCAGTATGCTGACAAAATTGTTTACTAACTATTTTTCAGAGAAATCGTATTCATATAAAACGCAAAATACTTGTGCAATTTTCATATCGAATACGTATACCCAATAATACAAATCCAATACTTCCTAAATGTAGCCTTTGATATTAAATTTCTTTTAACTGTAAAGCAGTAATCACAAGGGAAGTGTAAGAGACTAAAAGAGGTGTCTGAATATCATTTCTCAAAAAGAAGCATACATTCCTATTTAAATTGCAATAGTGGCCTTATTGCTAAAAAAAAAAAGCATAGCCCCTCAATGTCATTTGTTTCATACAGAGGATACAATTGCCAAACAAAAGTTAGGTTGTCTAGACAATTGGACAATCCAAATTAAAAATACATAGGTAATTTTAACTAAATATTTTTTATGAAAAATCTTGGACATAATTCTGACTATGTTATCTCATTTTTAGACATGAGTGAGTGAATTCCTCATAATTTTAGGGGTTCACCAATATTTTTTAAAAGAGTAAAAAAATTGAATGAAAAAGAAAGCTATGTATAGCATAAATATATGTATGCGAATATGAGCATTATAGTATAACTTGCCGGGAAGCGGGTGAGATCAGTTCCGGGGCGAACACTCTTCAAGAGACTAAGTACACGTTGGAAAAAATTTGGGGCTCTGTAATCATTACCATCCAATTCCCCCTCTAATTTCAATGGTGGTGTTAGAACAGCCACCCTTGTCCTTGTCGTCCCTGTCCCAATTACATCCCCATTCCCATTCACATCCTCTTCCTTCACCTGCAACACACCACATACATACCCCATTATGTTGTGTTTAAAATATTTTTCCATTTAAAAGGGAGTAATGAAATTATACAATTCATCAATTATGGTCGAAGGGAAAAAAAAAAAACTGAAAAAGAAAAAAGAAAAAGAGAGTTATTTCTAATCTCTACAAAACAAATAAAAATGTTCAAATCAATAGTAAAAAGAAAGATCAATTTATTTTTAGAAATTTAGTGTATCTTATTAGAGTTGTTTAAAATTTAAAAAAATTTGGGAATATATGTGCTAGAGTTTTTGGCGTAACCGCTGTTTATAACGAGACAAAATAGGGTAAACAAACTTAAAAATTTTTGATTATCTGGAAGTTGGGAGAAGAATGTTTTTAGATTATATTTTTTAATTATCAACTTTTAGCTTAAGAAAAGCAACACCAAACAATTTTTTAAAATTTTGGATTTGTGAAGTAATTTGTATAGGGGTAACTATTGGTTCAATGATAAAATATTGGCCTAATAATCTTGAAATTACGGGTTCAAGTTTCGGAACAATCACTTTGTGCACTATGCCAAAAGTTAAGTGTGTATCCAATCTTTCTCTCCCAAACACACATTAATGTGTACTATTAAGACCTTTTTTTTTTTTATGTTTTATTTGTGAAAATATTTGTAGAGGGAAGGGGCAAAGAGAAGAAAAAAGTGAATGAAATACAATTTTTTTTTTTTTTTTTTATAACTTTTCCCCCACCTTTTCCTTTTCTTATACAAATCACTGTTTAAATTTAAAATTAAACACAACTAGATACAAAAATCACAAAAATCAAAATATTGAAAGAAAAGTGAGGGCGAGATGATTGGAAAAATAACTAAACTGGCTCAGTTGGCCGAAAAGAAAGAAAAAAGTGAATTGTCAAAAGGAAAGATAAGGATCACTTGCTATTGGGCTGAAAATCATTCCATCTCTAAGCTATTCTACATCATTTTCATACAATGGTGATTGGCTTGGTGCATTCCAAGGGTTTTGGCTGATTTCAAAGGTGTTTTGGCAGATTGGGTTCAATCCGTGGTGGATCCCTTAAGTAGTGTGGATTCAATTACTCAACCATCCATTGTTGATGGAGATCGTAGAATTCGGTCAGTACAAGTTCATGGCCAGCAATTTTGTGGCTTTAAATCATGGATTCCTTTAAGCTTTGGTTGTAAGTTGCAAATTGTATTTTTGTTATTTATAGTGGATTGGTTGGGTGAACTAGGTCCCATTGTTTTTATACGTAAGATATTCCACATTAAAAATAGCGAGTCACTATCTTACGTGTTTGCTTTATTGTTATTTTTGCCATTTAGATTGTGTGATTAAAAAAACTAATCAACCAAAACAACATACTGAAAAAATCTAGAAATTTCTTAAATATTGATTTGTGATTATGTATCAATTTTAAGCAGAATATAACAATCCCAATCAAATAATCAAGACAAAGAAACACAACGATTTTACGTGGAAAAAATCACAATTGGACACCTCCAACTGTGATAAAAAAACCACGGGCAACAGCCACAAAACAATCCACTAAGAAGATTTAAAGGAATTACACAGGTATACTCTCAATTACCTAGCAAATCCAAGCCTAATTGAACCAACCTCTATGTGCCTCTTCCAACCCGTTTTCACCTCGGAATTGTCTTTACGATGAGTCACCTCGGAATCCATCAAAGCTTTAGGCTCGAATTCTTCAGAATCTACCGAAGAATAACTCTCTCTTTTGTAGAACAAAACACAACCTTTGATGTACTCTCTTTAAACCATGAGTTGAATATTCAATAAAACATCAAAGAAAAACTCACAAAGTATCCCCAGATATAAACCCTAGAACCCAAAAAGAAGATCTGGAGTCGTAATCCTAAAATCTGACCCAACACGCGAATTTATAGAATCTGTCCCGCGATCTCCGCTCGAGCGCCCAATAGCCCGCTCAAGCGGCTTCAGCAAAATATGCGCGTGATATAACAGAGGTCCGCTCGAGCGCTAGAGAACCCGCTCGAGCGCAAAATTACACATCTCAGTACTTTTACAGGTGACCAAAACTGCTGGAACCAGGAATTCTCCGCTCGAGCGGGGTAACGTCCGCTCGAGCGGACGGGCAGCTTGGAATGCATTTTTGCATTTTGCTTCGGGGGCGCTGCCCCGGACCCGCCAAGGGGCGCTGCCCCCTGGACCCCCGCGAGCTGACCGGGCAGCTCGATCCCCGTCACAATCAGCGAAGTGGCAATCTTGAAAGCATTAGCATCACAAACTTCTCTGAAAGGCACAATTCGGGTTGGATTCGTATCTAAACACTCATAGTCTCACTGAAATAAAAGTGCGAAAATAAATACAACTGAAAGGAGTTTTGTCAAATGGGATTGCCAAAAATAAAACCTAACACATACATATCAACAAATCTAATATTTTTCTCAATTGATATCAGAGCATACAGAATTTTTTATTGATATTATAGAAGCTTCACTCATTAAATATTTTTCTAATTTTATTTTTATAGGAGCGAGATCATGTTAATTACCAAGTAGATATTTCCCCAGAGAAGCAACTTCTATGGCGAGACCTTCATGCCTTGATGGTTCAAACCATCTTTACAATGTTTTTGAAAGCAATTGATGAACATGTTTATCTTTGACTAGTGCATGTTTGGTATAATAATGGTCAAAGCTTTGGATATACCAACTTTGACTGCAATTTAATTCAAACCTTGAGAAGAAATTTTCTAGATTTGTTCATTCACGTTCACTTCATTCTTGTGGTATAGTACATCACATTGATCAAACAATACGACAAACCCATAGCATAAAAATGTTCTACACACAATTCATTTCATAGAGAGAAATATGAAGTAGAGGAACTAAATACATTATATTTTATATACAACAAATGGTTACAATCCTTATTTTTAATAATAACATTCGAATTTCTTTAAGAAATATTCAAAATTGTTTGAAGAAAAAGGGTCAAAATTCTTCTAATCTAACTAATTTTTTAAGAATTAATGCATCTATATAATCCTTATATAATGGCATGTCCAAAATTTTTTAGTAACCCAAAATAACATAAATTAATATAAACACTATACAATGGCAGCTGCTGAATTTGTTTATTTTCAGGTAAAACAAAAATTAACTTTTATAAGGTTAAATTGCATTTTTTAGCTCCAAAGTATGAGTTTTGTGTCATATTGGTCTCTAAAATTTAAATTGTGTCAATTTAGTTTTTCATGTATAAAAAGTGTTTCAATTGAAACCTAACTCCATCAATAGACACCACTAAAGTCAGGGATAAATGTGTAATTTAAGAGACCAAAATAAAATAGATCATCTATTTCATGGACTAAAGTGCAATTTGTTAAGTAAATTTTCACATTAATGACACATCACATATTTTGGAGACTAAAAGTACAATTTTATAAATAGGTTTCTACATTAATCCCCAATTTTAACAATGTAGAGTTAGGTTTGGGGGGTAAAATTAACACACTTTTCCTAGGAATTAAATTGACATAATTAAATCTTGAAGGACTAAAATAAGACAAAATACATACTTGAGGGACTGAAAATGTAATTAATCCTAAATTAAAATTTCAAAACATGAATTGCCTAGTAATTGACTACATACAGTCTACAGCCCTTCTAGAAGAAGACGAAAGTTCCAAGTAGTTTCATAATAGAGAAGGCACTCAATAATTTTGAATGACCTAACTTTAAATATATATTTAAACCAAAGGATCCTGAATTTTAAGTGCGTTTATATTCTACATTAATTGCTAACTTTAACAAGGTCTAATGATGGAATCTAAACTAAATTGAAATACTTTCTATAAATTGAAAATTAAATTGACACAATTAAAATATTAATGATCAAAGTGACACAAATTACAAACTTTAAGGAATAAAAATGTAATTAATCCTACCTCATTAATGAGAGATTTATTAGAAAATCTTTTTTCAAGTGATATCTATCCCAATTAATCTATAAAATATTCTTGTATTTCAATAAGTCTTATTATTTGAGCATATGATCTATCAAATCCTAATTCTCATATTTAAAGTATTTTATAGACATTTCTACCTTTACAAATATTTTTTGAATAGTTAGCAATTTGGTGATGTGAACATTCATATTTTACAATCTGAATATTCACATTGATAGTGTAAATATTCACATTGACGTGCAAATGTTCACATTGATAGTGTAAACATTCACATTGACAGTGTGAACATTCATATCACAGAACATTCACACTATAAATGTGAATATTATTAGAGATATTTTAGTAACTATGTCACTTATAAAACTTTTTAGAATATAAAAAAATAATATAAATTAAATAAAATATAAATAGGTGAAAAGAGATTTATCAAAAAGCGTCCCCAAATTAAAATATCAGAACATGAATTGCCTAGTTATTGACTACAGAGTCTACCGATCTTCTAGAAAAAGACAAAAGTTGCAAGTAATTTCATAGTAGCATCTTTTGAAAAAAAGTATTCATGTGTAAATCTTGATAAGTAAATTTATTGTTTAATACGTCTTATGAAAAAAAAATTATCATAAAAAACGTTATTAATTGTAAATTTTAGTAACAATTTATAAAAATTATGATAAAAAAATTATTAATTATCAATTTTTAGCGACGTATGTAAAAAAATTATCACAAAAAAATTATTTTTAGCGATAATTTTACCAAGACTTATTTTCAATAGAACTTGATGAGAATTAAATCTAATTATTAGAACTTATTGATAATTTATCAAAAAAAAAAAAAAAAATTCTCATTAAAAAAAAAAAAAAAAGCACTCACTAATTTTGAAGGACCTAACTTTAAATATATTTATGTATAAGGACTGCTGACCAAAATTCGGTCATTCAAAAGGAGACCATCCAAAGTAGGCCATGTTAGCATATCCTCTTTTTTTGTACAGTCCCAAATTAAAAAGAGACGTGCGCATGTTATCAAAGTTTTCATCTTCAAGAAAGAAAATACAAAAATAAATAAATAAATTTAAAAGCCAACCCAGTTGCTACTTTCCTTTTGGCTGTCACATTCTTATCCCATCCAAAACAAAAAGAATATATAATGAAAATTTCAATATTCCAATCTAAACCAACAATACCATTTATAAATTCAGAGATTATTATATAATATATATTATGTTTATTATTATTATTATTATTATTATTATTATTATATAAAGTCTAAACCTAAATTTAATGCCCAATAAAAAACACAAAAAATTGTCATTCATCAAATCACACCTCAATCATCAAACTATAAAATCAAATTACAAATCCATCGCGTTTACCTACCAATAATATAATGACGTAATGGCAGCTGCTGAATTTGTTTATTTTCAGGTATATATATATATATATATATATATATTTCTGTTCATTAATATCTGGAACATAGATTGTAATTATCAATACCAGGACACATAGAGAGATGGGTTACATGGGTATGCCTATATATACACATATAGAGATGGGTATGTCTATATATATATATGTGTGTGTAGCCGAAAAAGTGCTTGAGAGAGAGAGAGAGAGAGATAGAGATACCATTTGAAGAGATGGGTCTGATAGCATATAGAGAGCAGAGAGCAGAGCAGAGGTTGGCTGGGCAACAGAGTTGTTTTTGTGAGGATGGTTTTTGAAAGGTCTGTCTGTCTTGGAACAGATGTTTGTTTGTTTTGAACAAAGAAAGCTTTTAGAAGCTTTCCATACATAAATAAAGAGGGGTGAGGGGGAAGAGAGAGAATGGTCTAGATAAATTTTAATTGGGAGTAGTGTTGATGACACATAAACTTATAAGTTGTTCAAAAGATGCAAAAAAAACTAAATAAATTTAATTAAATTCAAAAGTCCAAAATTGTGTTTTGTTGACTATTTAATTGCAACTATCTCCACAAGGAACCTCAAGCAGCCAGCCGTCTCTTTCTCTTTGTCCAAACAGTATTTAACAAACGCAGTAAGCAGCTTGACCCTTCCCCGCTTTCTTCATTATTAACGCCTTTCTTCATTATTAACCCCTCGTTTGGGAAGATTAAAAAAAATTTAATTTATCGATTTATTTAAATTATATTATTTTTTTACACTTATTTTGTATTCAATCAATAAATTAAAAAAAAATGTACTTCTCAAAATAAGTTTAAAAACAGTCGTGTTACATCTTCACAAAAATCTCCTATACAGATATGATGGAACAATTCGTCTTGAATTCTTCAATTGGTGGTTTTCAAATCTCTAAAACTTGGTGATGATCTTGTCTATGTAGAATAGAAATTTAGAGTTTCAAGTCGCGTTACTTAGTCGTTTTCCTAAAGATAATATTTGTACTCACCAAACGTATGCAAGGGATTACAGCAAATTCACCTCCAGGATACTATGAAGCATGATCTAAAGATCAAGTCTACCGGCGTCTGCACTAACAACAATTGATCAAAATACTCTTGATATAATCAAGAAAATCAAGACACTGATAATTAATTCTGCAGAATTTGATTACTAGTAAGAAAAGCAGAAACTTGCATAAAAAACTCTTGATCGAAAACTCTAAATCAAGAGAGAGGGAAAGGGAGAGAGAGAGAGAATTGCAAGAATGAATTCTAAATTTTTTCAGGAATGCTTTTTGAATTTTTGGATGGATTGAAATGACTGATTTCATAGCCTATTTATAAACCTTGATGCATCTGATCATACCGAATCAAGGATGGGTGCCATCTTATTCCTACGATCGCGCGCATTTCCAATCAACAATTATGACCAAACCCGTCTAGATCGGACACGAAACCGTTTGATCTATTGGCTGACTCATTACCAACCAACGCCACATCATTGCCACGCGGTGCTGACTGTATGCCACAGTCATCCATGCCACGCTGGATCCACATCATCGCTCCAACCTGCTCGATGCAACTAGGAAAGCGCCCTCATAGCACCTTGTGCAGATGCCACGTTGGATTCACATCATCGCTCTAATCTGTCCGATGCAAATAAAAAAGCGCCCTCATGGCTCCTTACGCAGATGCGTCCGTGCTAAGTGCAAAGTGTGCAATCAAGCGTCACACAATCCACTGCCTACGCCACGCGTGCGCACGTGTGCGTGTGCGTAACGTGCGCACGCGGATGGTGCGAAGCACCATCCTTGCGATGTGAACACATGCATACTAGCATCTATTCCACAATTCCATATTCAAAGAAATATTCCATGTAGCACTTTATTAAGTGCTCCATGTTTTCCTCTTTTTCTAATGTGGGACAAAGTCTCCGAGCTTATTTCAAGTTTTCCAAAGAAAAACAAAAAAGGTATTGAAAACACCTAAAAACTAAACTATAAATTTTGAAAATCATTTTGAAAATTTCCCAACATTTCCCCATCATTTTCAAAATACCAGATGATGACTCTTGGTTCACTTGGCAACCTTATGCATGGGTGACGGTATTGTACAATTTGAATCATTCACTTAGTGAAGACGCCTCAAAGTTAATCAAGATGGCACAGTAGAGTTGTCTTTGAACTAGCGATCTTATATGACTAACCGGATATGTCTCATATACAATATAGGTTACCTCAAGTATTCAAACAAACTGACACGTAGATTGGCCTCGTGTCTCTATCCTGTTTCATGAGTACTGTAAAGTCAAGCACTTAAACTCATAAGAAGCGGCACCACCTCCTACACTCACATAGGTAAGCCTATTAAGAGTACTCTTATGATTTACAGTACCTTAACAACCCAATTGTAAGCTTATTAAGAGTTTGCTAACCCATTCTCTTCTTTTTACATTACAAGTACCAATCACTTCAACCTTGGTATGAAAATGAAATAAAACTAAGTGCTTGCAATCACGACATATGGTATACTCAGGCTCATTGAACTTAAGATTTGATGTTTCTTCAAGCGTTTAGTCGAGTTTTCACCAAGAGTGATTATATCAAGTAGGGTTAAGACCCATCCCCTTTGATGTTTTCCTTTCCAAATTCCTTGCGAGTCACTTTCTTAAGGGGACAACCAAATTTTCACTTGACTTTACATAACTAATGGTAATCACACCTTCTGTGATTAACTACTTGACACAACTATGTTTCAGTCCTATATGCCTAGACTTTCCATTATAGACATGGCTATAAGGTCGTGATAGAGTTGCTTCATTATCATAATGAAAAGATATTAATGGCATAGGTTTTGGCCATATCTTAATCTCTAACAGGAGATTCCTAAGCCACTCTGCCTCTTTGCTACAAGAAGCCAATGCTACAAACTCTGACGCCATGGTTGAGTCTGTTATGCATGTTTGCTTCTTAGAACTCCAACAGATAGCTCATCCTTTAAGAGTAAAAATCTAACCACTCATTGACTAGTGATCTTCACGGTCAGTTATCCAACTAGCATCCATGAATCCTTCCAACACTGCTGCATAGCCATTATAGACTATTCCATAGTCTATCATTTTTCTCAAGTACCCAAGTATTCAATTAACAGCATGCCAATGCACACTACTAGGATTACTAGTGTACCTACTAAGTTTTCCCACTGCAAATGCAATATCAGGTCTAGTGCAAGTCGGGCTACCTATCACTCTTGAGTATTCTAGCTGATCAACAACTCTTCTAGTATTAGGATACAATTTCAAATTTGAATCAAAAGGTGTAGACATGAGTATACAATTATATTGATTAAATTTCTCAAGAATTTTCTCAATATAGTGCGACTGGGTAAGAATCAAATTATTGTCCTCTCATTTGATCTTAATACCCAGAATTACATCAGCCAAGCCCATGTTTTTCATACTAAAGCTAGACGACAATAAACTTTTAGTACTTTCAATGACATCATTGCCAGTACCAAAAATAAGCATGTCATCTACATATAGGTGTATGATTACACCTCTATTACCAGTAAACTTACTGTATACACACTTATCAAATTCATGTATCCTAAAACCATTTGACACTATTAGTTTGACAAATTTCTCATGCCACTGTTTTGGAGCTTGTTTCAGTCCATGTAGTGACTTCACAATTTTACACACTTTGTGTTCTTGACCCTGTACAAAAAATCATTCCAGTTGTTACATGTAGATTTCCTCATCTAACTTTTCATTTAGGAAAACAGTCTTAACATCCATTTAATAGATTTCAAGCTTGTAGATTGAGGCTAAGGCAATCAACACTCGAATGGTGGCGATTCTGGCCATCGTAACATATGTATCAAAATAATCAATACTCTCCTTTTGAGTAAAATCCTTAACAACTAATCTTGCTTTAAACTTGTCAATTGTGCCATCAATTTTCATTTTTCTTTTGAAAATCCATTTACAACCAATTGGTTGGATCCAGATGGCAAATCCGCAAGTATCTAAGTATTTTTACCCGTAATAGAATCGATCTCATTGTTTATTGCTTCTTTCCAGAAAATAACATCTTGAGACTTTATAGCCTCTTCAAAGGTTGATGGATTTAAATCCATATCCAAATAAATCATTGTTTGCTTATAATAAGTTTTCCTAGTTCTTTCTACAAGGTAGACAATGAAATCAAGGCCAAATGACTTCTCAGTCCTAGCCCTCTTACTCCTTCTTAGCTCAACAGGCTCATTAGGTTCATTAGGCTCAACGGGTTCATGTCATTCACTTTCCTCTCTAGACATCAAAGGAGTTGAGTTATTTCCTCGATTAGAATCCAAACCTTGGAATGATTGCGAAACGATTCTTATAAAATAACGCATCACATGATTCAATAATGGTATATGTTTCCATTAAACTATTGGGCTCTACTACCAAAAACCTATATGCTTTGCTATGTATAGCATAGCCAAGGAATATGTATTCAATTCATTTTTCATCTAATTTCTTCATTTTAGGTTCAGGCAATCTAACCATTGCTCTACATTCGCACGTTTTCAAGTAACATAGATTAGGTTTCTTGTTTTTCCAAAGTTCATAAGGAGTACAGTGAACAAGGCTTCACCCCAAAAACCAGAACTTAAACTAGAGTAAGAAAACATAACATTAATCATTTCTATTAATGTCCTATTCTTTCTTTCATCTACTCCATTTTGTTGTGGTGTGTAGGGTACAGACTTCTCATGAATAATACCAATATTTTCACAATATTTTAGAAAATGGTATTCACCGCCTCTATCAGACCCAAGTCTCTTTATTTTGACATTACACTGATTTTCTACTTCTGTCTTAAAAATCTTCAATTTATCAAGTACCTCATCTTTTGAATGCAAAAGATAGATATGACAGTACTTAGAAAATCATCAATGAATGTTACAAAAAAATTCTTACCACCTCTAGTAGGGGTGCTATGCATGTCACATACATCACTATGCAAAAGTTTATGCAAATATGTGGTTTTACCTACTTTAGGAAATGAAATATGAGTAATTTTATATTGCACACAAAAATTGCATTTTTCAAACATATCAATGTCATACTTCGGAATTAAATCTAAATTAACCATATCATGCATTTTCCTAGCATTAACATGATCTAAATGAGCATGCTATAAAGAAAGAGAATCAACAATTTAAGAAGAAACATATGTATTATTGATAACGTTAAGTTTGGACATTCCCTGATACACATAGCCCTTCCCAAAAAAAAATTTACCCTTAGACAAGACAAATTTGTCCGACTCAAATACTAACTTGAAACCATGCTTATTAAGCAGACTTCTAGATACAAGATTTTTTCTGACATCAGGTACATGATAAGTATCATTAAGACTTAAGACTTTTTCATATATGAACTCTAGATCTACCATCCCTTTGCCTTTGATAGCAGTAGTTGAAGAG